ATCAATGATATAAAATTTCATGTTTGGAAAAAAGTTAACTTTATCATTAAAGGCATCCTCTGTGGTTTGATGGAAGCATTTTGTACTCACAATGTAAGATTACCTGACGTTATTGGGAAATAAACAGCAGAATTCCAGGTGAGGTGCTTCAGCGAAATAGGGGTCAGGAGAAAGCAGTTCTCTCTGTGGCTCCCTTCCCATTGTTCAAGCTAAAAATACCAGGGCAAATGGCAACACTTTTCAACATCTTAGCATGCAAGGCTCCCTCAAGGAAGATGAAAAGAGCAACCTTGTACTGTTGGGCTAGAAATAGATTACTGAGCAGTGTTCCCAGACACAGTGCTGGCAGCAAAGCTATTAGCAGAATTGAAGTCTTTGCCCCAGAGGTGTACGGAAGGAGCCTTGTGGGACCCAAGTAAGAAGAGAGACAAAACGGAGTGGTGGCTGGATTTCAAGTAAAATATGGCTTACAATAAATTAAATATTACTTGGAAGTGTCAGGGGAAATACATATATTTAAGGATAACTGCTCTGTATGTATTTTTATAGTTCACCCTTGTAACTCATCCTGTCTTCTTCCTTATAAAATAATCAAAATGCATATTATAATACATTAGTTTCCAATATCCATACAGAGAAAGTACAAGATACTTACATGTAAGTACACTGTAGTCACCTATATTTTTGCATAGTTTTAGTGTGTACTTTGTGCCACTTAACCCAAAGCATTACTTGGGTAATTTCTGTCAGACAGGTTGTTCATAGAATTTTTGTGTAGCTGATTTTTGGTATATTCATTATATATTACCAGTTCTAATGAATGGGAAAAGTTTTGGGAAAATAACTGTAGTGTGACCATGAAGATTTGTTGTAACCTCATGCTTTTCACTTCAGCAGAATTGCCTTTCCTCAACAGAATATTAAACCTAAGAATTTGATTTTCCTTTAGGTAACACTTTATAATAAGTGGCACTAAATTACACTGCAATGTTACATGGAAGCACATGTAACCATACTTTCATGATCAAACAATCTCATGTACGTACACGGTAACTTCAGTGCTTTTACAATCAAAAATTATATAAGCTCCCATCCTTTCTTCTCACTGAGAGATGTATACAGATAGGTAGATATCCTACATCATGAGAAACATACTCAAAATGTCCACTTCACTGGTTTACTTAAAAACATCAATTTTCCTAATCTGTTCTTTATAGAAGGAATCACGATGCAAGATGACCAGCCTTCCATAAATATGAAAAATTCTAAGTGCTCCAGGTTAATCTCTGGACCTCAGATAATATCTTAGGTTCCTTCAACTGCTTCTTGGATTTGCTAATGACATCTAAGGATGAAAAGATGATGCACCTATATACTCTGTGGTGCCACATTATATTATTTTAGTGTTAAAATAAAAAAATGATGATTGGAAAAGAAATTAATATTAAATACTAAATTGGCAACAACTTGATATCTTGGAGATATATATCTATATATCTATATATATATATATATATATAGATATAGATATATATACACACACACACACACATACACATATACATATATTCCCAATGAGAACTGTCATGTTTCACATTTTCCTTGGGTACTCCCATGACACCTATTTATGTCTATCTCTCAAATTGTGAAAATTAAACAATTATTTCCATAGAACACGGTGCCTTATTCCCAGTGTATTCATCTAAACAAGGGGTTCTCAAACCAGGATCAAATTTATTTCAACAGAAAATCTTATCGGTTATTTTTATTCGTATAATTTGAGCATTGGTGTATAGTTTGTGAAACCTATAACAGTGTGTCCCTCTTGTGGACTAATTCACAAACACTCATGGAAAAGTCTACCTTCCATCTTTTCAATAACTGACAGTTTATGGTATGTAGTGAGCTGGAAGTTAGTCAAGAAGAAGAGGTTATACCTTGATGCTTTAGTAAAAACCAGCCACCTTCTAGCCATTTACACTGGGATCAGCCTTCTTGAGAACAGTATTTCTCCCTGTTTTTCCTTATTTCCATTAGACAAAAAGGCACTGAAACAGGGAGCAGAGTTAATTGCTATCTGCTCTGGTGCTAGTGCAATATCCACACATATTCAAGGATATTGGTATAAAAATTCTTTGAGGCCACATTGCCAGACTTTTAGCTCCATGTATAAGAGGTTTTATATTAGATAAGTGAACCCCATTCAGTTTAAAATTATGCAGTCAGACTATATTAAGCGAATATTATCTGTATTGGAGATATTGTAATACAATATTGCTAGTAATTGTGCTAAAAGCCAAACATGGGCTGACTAGAGAAAGATCTAAAGTCCAAGAAACATTTAAATTCTGGTTCATTTATGGAATGTTTTATTTGGTAGAAAAACTATTATTGTACTATTATTGTTCTATTTCAAAAGCCTCCTTTTTCTCAAAGAAATGTTTGAGAACCTCTGATTTGAGTAGCTGAATGGAGATGACCTAAAGTGACGGTATGTCAGAATTATCCATTCACTTAACACTGTATGGTATATTTCCTCACTATCTTTTGGTCTGTCTTAAATTACGTCTCAAGGTGCAAGGCAGAAAATATTTTTTAAAAATAAACTGCAATGGAGTACACAGGAAAAAGTTAACATTTCAAGTCCTACCTACTATTGCAAAGTTCCAGTATTTCCTTATGCTACACTGACAAGACACTTGAAATGGTTACATCTAAAGATGCCCAAATGTCTGGAAATCTCACTTCACAGTGATGAGGAGGTGGGTAATGTAAGCAGCATTTCTATATAATTTAAGCAAAATGGAATTTAGAAAGAATGCAGAAATGTGTAAATACTGCACTAACAGAGATGTGAGTTTCGTAAACATAATCCTAATGCAGCAAGGCATTTGAACACAGAGTTAAGTGCTTTGCTGGCCTGGACATTAGTTCCACAAATCATTTTTCGAAATAGTAGTTACAGTCAGCTGCTGTGACTAATATCTTCCAAGTAGTAGTAAGCTTAATTCCTTTTGCCACTTTTGAAGCAAATGTATTCCTTGAAAGACATAACTATACTAGCTTCAATGTGTCTAGTAGCTCCTACCTGATTCTCTCAAACTACCATACTATATTAACATATTATTGCATTTTTTTCCACAGATGATTTGGAGTGAACTGTAAAAACAAGCATGCAATCACATCAATGCAGACGTATTTCTTTAAAATGTCATACTGTATATGATTTATTATGTTAACACTCAACCACATCATATTATTTATGTTCTGTATACTTTGAAAAAGTGCTGCTCAATTGATGGACTCTCTCTCTTTTTTTCTCATAGAAATTAACAAGGTAAATGTTTTTTTTCCAGCAAAAACAATTTAAAAACTACTATTGTCCTTAAAAGGTGTATACTCTTCTGATAAATAATCTGACACAACACCTTTGATTTCCATTTACCGTGACACATGATGTCATATTCAAATGCTACCCACCCTCCCTCCCCACCCAAGCAAAAAATAAATCCCAGGAGATAATCCTTTACAATAGGCCATTATGCTTTTAGACTTCACCAGTAAGAGCATCCATATAGAAATATTCCTTTTTCAAAAGGTGCAGCACTTAGGGGATGAATGACAGTCTCTACTGATTTTTATTTTCTGACATGGAACCAGTAAATATGAGCTCATTTCGTGATTTTCTCTTCCTTATTCTGGAAGATGTATAGAGCCAATCAGTTTTATATTATGGTCGATTTAGAAATTTAAGATTATTTGTAAGCTGTCATTTTTGCCCCACATTTTGAGAACTATCTCAAAGAGAGGTCTTTACTGTGGAGCTAAAAGCATGGCAGGTATTCTCTATCATTCACCGTGACATAAGTTTGTACCTCACAAAATGCATAGACAGGAATTTAATATAAAGAATTAGTCCATTTACCGTATACACAAAACATAGAGTTTTTTGTTGTAACACTTCATTGTTTGTGTTTTGGCAAATCCAACATTGAAAAGCAGTTCTGAAACTGCCAAATTATATTCTGAAACTTTTAGCAACTTAATCTTTAATCATTAATGTGGTTGTAATTTAAAACCTGAGGCTGTGCACTGGTTGTTAGCTTAAAACTACCTTTCCATATAACATTGTGCTTCCATTGTATAACAAAGAAAAAGTAACTGGAACTAGAAAAGTTTGCTGCTGAACAGTGCTAGGACATACAGACAAAAAGTACTAATACATGTTATCTACTCAGAATATTAATTTAAGTCATATCTAAAGGGATATAATGGACATTAGAAAATGCTTACTTGTGACTGACTTACCTACAGCCCCAAAAGTTAAATATGTATCAAATAATGTTTAATTGGATTTATTATATGCACTATATACAGATACTAAAATGTCTTGCAGTTGTGCCCCATGAACATGTCCAGTTTGAGTAGGCAGGTGAGCCCATGTGAAGCAAATAAATTAAAATAACAGAAATTACAGAAATAGATATGGAAGTCTTTATGATCCTAAAAGCAGTAAAACGGCTAGACAAACACTTTCAAAATGGAGCTACATAATCCGTCTCTTCAGAATCTCAATCAACTGACTGCATGATATGGTTACTACCCAGATGCTGCTTTAGTACCAATGTGCCATTAAAATAAAAGTTCAGTTTGTACCCTTTTGCTATCATCTGCCAACCTACAAGAAATTATACTAGAAAGCTTTCAGTTGGTGTTTCCTAGGGCATAATGTTTCAAAACTAGGCTGCTTTTGAATTATAGACATATATAAAACATTCTTTGTAAACCTCTAATCTTACTTGTAATGTCTTACGTAAGTACATTTGGGTCCTCACCTAAGAACATTTGTTATGAAAATGACCTGGTGCAATACCGGTAAGGACCATGGTAAAAGAAAACAGAAAAATAAAGTTGTATAATATTTTTTTAAAAATGTAGAAAAACTGAATATGAACTGATGATGATTACAATTGTTAAGGCTGTATATTCAAGCACTGTATGTTAAGAGAGCAATGGATATGATGATTAGGCAATAAGAAATGTCCTGCATTATGAATGGTACCATAATTAAAGAAAAATGCCGTCCATGGCTGATTGTTGGTATAAACTGGCTACTGAAAACAATTGTGTTCATTAATAAAGGTAGCAAAAAGATGGGAGAAATTAATTCTGAAAGATGAGAGCCAGTTTTCTCCAGCAGTCAGCCTGGTGTATATTACTCAGAGAACCTAAGTCTGCATCTATATGAAATATTCCTTCTTCTCTTCTGCATTGACTTGGCTGCCTTCTGCATTGATAATGGCTGTATCCGCATCAGGTGCATCTTCAGCTCCTTTAGCTTCATTTGTTAAATATGTTCCTGTGGAAACAAAGTGATTAAAAGAAAATGTTAGGGCTTTGGGACATTTTACAGCTTTTCAAATGTAGTTCTCTAATAGTGGAATAATTGGTCTTGGTGAGTGGAGGGTAAATGTCATACAAAATTGTAGCATGAACGCTTATAGTATCTGTGTTATACCAATTCAGGCAAGGATTAATTGTGATCCAGAGCCCTTAGATCAAAATAGGTACACACCAATAGCACAGAAAAGACCTTTAAGCTGTCACCATTACTTAACAAGCTTTTTTTTGGCAGTGGGTGGGTGGGATGCTTTCTAGTTATTTGTGCTGCTCTGTGATAATTAAATATATTTTAATTCAACTGAAGAGAATAACCTGCAGGCTCAAAATGAACTTTTTGAAGTCTGGTTGACTTTAATGGGTGAATGTTTATCACAGTGGGGCTCCTTATCCACTGCAGCTATTATTTCTGAGCTTTACAGGAGCTAACCATGGTTAATCTAAACCTATTAGGGGGAAGGGTTCAGTACCATGTATAGATCCTATAAAGCTCAGAATGAAAGCAGAAATGGATAAAGAGCCCTTCTGACATATGTGTCACCAGTTTCCCTTTTTCATATCTAGCTACACCAAATCACTCCCTGTTTTCATAGCCAGCAATGTCCAAAAGAGCCAATTTTCACTTGAGAGGAGTGCGTGTGTGCACGAGCTTCCAAAAAAGAGCAGAACAGAAGTGCCCAATTTCATACTAGTTTGCTCAAAGGACATACTTTTTCCATGGAGACTTACTTATTACTGGGAAAGGCACATTCTTCATTACCTTTTGTGAATTAGCTGATCAAATAGCTTTTGCAAACCTAGGCCAATAGCTCTCCATTTCCTGACATTCTGAATATCAGGTGAATTGGGGAATGCAGTTCAGTAGGTGCTTATTCTAATCCCCTGATGATATAGACAGCCATAATGATGTGCTTACACTTCATACATTGTGAAGGGTTTCTTGGAAAAAAGAAAATAATACAGAATAGTAATAGGCTATTTTATTTATTTGGGTCTTTGAAAGCTAAGGCTCAGCACTTACATTCTAAGAAAACCTTAACACAGGGACCAAATGAGAGATGTCAGAAACTAGAGAAATAAGCTATACCTTCTTCTGCCTCAGTGTTTGCTGCCTAAGCACTTAATGTAATTTTGACCCAGCTCAGTCTGTATGCTGTGTTGGGAATAAAAGTACTTCAAGCAAAGGCAGGCCACTTGCTGTGCTGCAAATGTTTTAGCCTACAGCTTCCATTATCCCTCACTATTGGCTATCGTGGGTGGGGGTGATGAGCTTTGTAAGGCGAAACATCTGGATGGCTACACATTTCCCTTCCCAACTTAAAGCACAGAGTACAGTGAAGAAAAGCAGCATATAAGTAGGAATGGGAAAAAAGTATTCCCATCACCCTGCACATTCCTTTTCACGTAATGAGGAGATCCCACACTCTCTTGGTTTATATGCACAAATAATGGGGCAGAGCAATTATTTGACTTGTCCCTAAAGCATGACAAATGGGAATCCAAACCTGTGTACCCAGTGTCCAGGTTCTGATAAAGCTACGCATCCTCTGGCAGGTGAATGGGATGATAACAAGCACCTGCATTTTGTGACATTCACTCAAAAATCAAAAAGGGTAAAGATGAAGGTAGGAAAAGATTGTTCTGGTATCTTATCTAAGATAATGTCTTGGAGTGAGTAGAGAACCCTGACCAAAATTAAGGCAGGGAATCCATTTTTTTGCAGAAAGAACTGAAAACCTTTCCTGCAACTCACAGGATTTCCCCTTCAGGCCAGAAATTTCAATGATAAGGCTTCTCTGTAAGTGTGTTCACATTTCTAATTCAAAGGTAAAGTATTTTTTTAAAATCTGAGTAAGATACTTTAGTGAAACTGAGTGACCTGTGAATAGACCACCTCCAGCCTGTGTCCTGTTGAAGGACTGTGGGTGTTTTGTTAAGCATTGTAACAACCCACCCTCACTGGCTTCATATGTCATGACAAGCTGCAGCACACTCCTGCCACAGCTTGAAATCACAACATGGTGGCTGGCATATATCATGGAGCCCCATAGTTGGTTTCCATGAAGTATGACAGGCCTTAGTGTTGTATTGCTTGAACTTATGCATTCAGAACTAGCACCATTGAATTCAATAGAGTGTACTGCCATATCTTTCTTTCAACCTAGTAATAAAAATCTGATACAGAAAATTAAAGTAGTTATCTTACTAGCCAAGATCCATATTTGCCACATATGGATACAAAAAAATACTGTAAAGGTTGTTTTATATTTGAGATTATATAAAATGTGTGTATACAAAAAGAATAAATATTTGAAAGAGGTAAGTTAGGTGAGTGAAGACTGTTAAAAGTTGTGGAATTACTTACAGGATAAAACTAAAAGGAGAATTTTCACCTGTTCATTAACTTACAGCTTGAGCTAAGTAACTTCATCAGAAAATATTTATGTTGCTAAATACATGTAACATTTTGGTGCTATTGTGGTGGGACTGGGTGGTTGGATAGTAGAAACTAGTACCTGGATATCAAAACCACTCAATGATTGCTAGACCTCTGCCAGTGTCAGTACATTTTCCCTGGAACTCTGAAAAGCTGCTGTGGCTTAAGAATTTAATACTCAGTATTTTCCTGTCATTTTTAATGCATTTGAGATCAACAATTTATGACTGTCTCTCATATGTTTATCTACTCACTTCACACAGAATTTTGCTTTAACAAACTTGTTAACTTAATAAAGCATAGATGTCCACTTCCTGGAACTGTGCAATGTCCTGTCTTTCACTTGTTTAATTCTCTGAGTCACTGACTCCTTGTGTGACCTTGGACAAATTGCTAGACATTATTTTGCCACAGTTAATCCAAGTGTAAAATTGGGTAAAAATCAGGACCTCACTAAAAAAACAAAACAAAAATCCAAAACGGATGCTGCATCATCTGAGTTTTCCTGAGGCAACAGAGGTGGGGGAAATAGTTGCAGACAGAAACTAATCACTAGGAAATATTGCTACAAAAATGACTGTACTTTGATTAAGTCTAGCCTACCTTTATGTCTTGCCAGATATCGACCAAGCAGAATTATAGAACATAGCGTGACAAAGACAACTACAGCCACTATCCCTCCTATAAGAGCATGGTCCGGTCCGGTCTGTCCAGGCAAAGCATTGGGGTCTAAGGGAAAAAAGGACAATACAACAGATTATTTGGTTATGCTCTGCAATGACACAATTATGCTGATGATGGAATGTAAGACAATGGGGGTGAGTGGGAAGAGGAAGGCATTTTTAAATATTCAGAGAAGTTATTCCCTTACTCCATTCCCAACTATCTTATCAGTAATACAGCACTGCTTGTATTCCCAGATTGCAAAAGCCCTGAGGATGTCTCAGAATGAAAGGGGAGGGGGGGAAATATCTCTAGCAGAAGTTATTAAATGGGAAACATTTCTGGTTTAGTCCTCATCACTTTACAACTGAAAATCTGGCCATAGCTATTTATAGAAGCAAAAACAAGGAATTGAGAATTGGGGATCAGACAGAATCAGCAGAATAGTGTCTGCATAATACATAATTTATAGGGCTGAATCTCAGTGGGGATCCCTTATATATTCTTCCTTTTGTCATACCTATCCTTTTGCACTAGAAAAAAGAGAGATGGAGGGAGAGAGAGAGGGAGAAAGAAAGAGATAAAGTGTGGTTGAGCAAGTTCTGCAGATGGCGGAGTCTGCATGAATCTGGTCAGATAAATGTAAATGCATCCTTAAAGAACATCATTCATTCTCAAGTGTTAGTTTGTGAACTGAAAGCAGTTATCTGATTAATTCTGAAGTGAGTAAATTCAAATGGTTTAATAATCTATTAGGTCTTTTGTTTATGTTCGGTGCCCTGAACATTAGGAAAACCACAGGATTTCAACTTGTTACATTAACCATCTATCATGTAGGGGGACTTATTCTCTGCAGAAAAAAGCCGGCCATACAAAAAACCTCCTTTTTGGAATCACTAATTCCTTAGACTCGAAGGTTATTGGTGCTGATCAATGTCCTGGTAAGCTTCAAGTGTTAGTTCATCAAAATAAGTAAAAAGGAGACAATAGGGCAGAATTTCCTCTTTTTTTAACATGAAAAATGGCTTGGCTACAAGTGAACAATAGCCCCACCAGGATTAATCAGTTATTAATATGCTCACATTGACCTGGTTCACATGATCATCATGGCTTAAACAAACCACTAGAGCTTGTTTAAGCCATGACACATGCTGGACAACATTGCCTTATTACTTGCCTTGGCCTGCTGTTGTTATTTGACACTGTTTTCCCCCATGCTGGCTGGGGTTGGATGGCATGACAAGATGCATCCTAGTGGATAATTAGGCAAATGATGTTTGGTATGCACTGGCAGGCACCACAGCTGAAACCAGTGGCAATTATGCAAACTTGGCCAATGTGTTAATAGGTTCATATGTAATGATCTATGGACATTTCTGAAATTATGTTCTGCAATTAGTTTGAAAATCACTATCTGTGTTTTTACCAAATAAATTTGCAGTAAAAAGGAGATCATAGTTTTAGTATGCTTAAAACAGCACTAAATATACACATCCTCTTTTCTGAAAATATTGGTGGGCAAGGGAAAATGCAAAATGAAGGAAATAAACATTTTCCTCCTCCCTCTGATGGCACCCTCCTAGAGTTGTGCATTATGACTTTGTATGTCCATGAAAATATGGTGGTAGGACATTTAACTAAATATCAACCACAGGGTTCCCACAGCTACTTATTATAAAAGACTACCAATCAATAGTCTTAGCAATCTGTAGTTATGCCTATATTTTTGTTTTTTCTTTGTACTTCATCTTATATTGCCACAGTGTCCTCAAAACACAAAGAATTAATCAGTTTCATACAAAGACTTTATCACATTGAATGCATTGACATGATTAACTGCAAGTCCACAAATCTGCATAAAACATACTTGGAAATAGGCCCCACTGTGCTCAATTGTATATTTACTTTCTTGTAAGTGTATATAAGATTGTGGCTTCAGTATGGCAACAGGCTTTTCATATACACACTATAAATGAAAGTTAAACAATTTCATAATACAGGACATTTATACATGTGTGCGTGTGTATATATAAAATCTGCAATGAATTTAATGGAACTAATGAACAGGTGCATGTCTCATTACAGCCTCAAAAAAAATTAAATATTAGTCTTGATCAGACCAATATCAATACCACTGAGTCAGGCCACTGGTGTAGGTTTTTTATTCTTCATCGGGTTAAATAAAGATGCTTAGTTACATTTGCTTAGTTTGTCTGAAACTATGCAAATCTCTGCGCTGTTCTTGTAATAGGTTGCTTCGTTTTTTGGTTTTCTATTCTTTGTAATTCATCCAGAGACCTTTAGTAATGGGACGGCATATAAAAACCTTAAATAAATAAGAATAAAAAAATTTTTTTTGCTACATTTCTAATTCTTGATTCCCCCATCCCTACAGCTATTCCTAAGGCTGAGAGGGGGGTCACAAGGTGATAGAGATGTCACAGCAGCAATGGACTAGGGTGGATAAGAAGATTCTACCTGAGCCTGCATCAGGCATGTTGCAACTCTTTCAGCTAAAATTCTTACCACCTGTAACTAGGCCTTAGGAGAGGCATATCAACCATTTAGAATGGAGATGAAAATTGCACCAAAGCTGAGAAACCACCAAATTAACAGGAGTTGGGGAGGTTGAGAGTACAGTCATCGGCTGAACCGCTAAGACCCTGACTGAGACCTCATTGGATTTGGCCTGCAGTCCCAAAGCTGAACAGGATCCTTCGTACTTCATCTTACATGCCACTCTTTATTTGAAACAGACAAGAACAGAAAGTGCTTTAACCTGTTTGTGGGCAACCTGTAGGCACTGGGAAAAATGCTGGATAAGCCTGTGGTCATATACTTATGATTCCCATAAGATACAACATTGTCTATTATGCACTTCTACAATCTGCCCTCTCTTTTTCTCAAGGATGGACAGATGCCTTCCACTCTGTTATCTTTTCCTAATTGGACCAGTTCCCAATATAGATCAACAAGTCTTTATATTTTTATCAAGAAGAAGGGCACAAAGTGTTGTGTGGGAGTTAGATGCCCCTTTTCCAACTCCTTCTGTGCCCCTGTAGGTGTGTGGCATGTCTGGATTTTGAGCAAAGCACTCCACAGAAGTACTGCAGCTACTAGTGTTAGAAGGGAAAATGTATTCCCATACACCCTGGCCCAGACCCAAAGCATACATTGGTTTTCCTTTTAATTATAAAGTACAGCCCCTGATCAGGATTGGGACCTTAGCATGAAGACTCTTAGGGGGACATTAACACTTTCCTTCATCTCTGTTATTTATTTTGTCAATAATTTTTAAAGTAAATGTGTGCCTTGCTCCTCATTGTCTGGTGCTTAGGCAATTGCTTGCATAGCTTCTCAGCAACAGCCTGGATGCTGATTTTCTTTGCATGTTAGAAGAACATCATCTGCAAATGCTATACTCTTACTCAAAGTTTGAACAAGAAGCTGCTTCTCTCTCACACATACAAACACACACACAGATGCACTCAATCTAAACACAAAGAAGGCACACAAGAAAGCCATTGTGGCAGTTTGATTTTGGCATCCCTGGGCATACATTCTGGGTATGTATATCAGATATTTAGTATGACCAAGATACAGCAGTTCCCATCTATCTGTTAGATATATGATAAGTGATAATAATCATATATAATGGAGACTTGTTTTTAAAATTTAATATTTCCACTTGTATAACTATTTAATATGTTTTTGGTCTCAGATACATTGGTCTCAGAAATGTTTACTGATAGTCTGGGATACTGAGGTTTTGTCATCTCAAGGTGAAAAAGCATATTTACATAAAATATGGCAAACCAGGAAGCTCTCCCTAATGTTAAAGCATTAAATATAAAAAGACATATATTATACATGCAGAGCAATACACTATCTTGCTGCAGTTTCCCGACAGAAGCATAATCCCTTGGGTGAATTACAGTACTGCATTTACTTTCAGCTATCTATTATCTTATATAATTACCGTTTCTGGCTAAATGCTTCAGGAACTGTTACTGAAAATCAAGGATAGCTTTTCATTCAACAAACATTTCAAAACTACATGAATATCTGGGGAAAACATCTTGGCATCAAAGTGGGTGGCACAGAATGAGGAAGAGGATATACTGAACTAAGAACATAAACCAAAACTAGTTGTTTCTCTGAGGAAGCTGCAGTGCACAGCTTGTTTGCCCATGGGTTTGGGAGGGGGGAAAGAAGCAATGCATCTCCATTGCCCAGGCACTGGAACATTCACAAAGTGAATGCATGACTTAAAGGAGCCTGGAAAAAATGTGGAAAAAAGTCTGAACACAATATTTTCATTCTGGCCTCAAAACATTTATTGGAAGTATTTGAAATACCAGTTCGATGCACATAATGTTACAAAAAGAAATCATTGTGGCTTTTGTTTTAATTTTGGAATATATATAAAATAGGTCATGTTAACTATAGTTTCCTTCAAATGTAAATGGCTTACATGCAGGTGAGCTTAAATCACAGGCTCAATAATGGAGGAATCCAAGTTCTCCCCTGAAAAGACTTCTAAGGTCTTTTTCCCAGGAAAGGAGAAAAGTAAAGGGAAGGTCCCCAAAAAGGTAAATTCTGAAGCTTTTTATTTAATTGATTTATATTCCTGATTACATCATTTTCTTCCTCCTGTTCTCAATCATACCACAACAATAACGCTGTGAGGTAGGTTGTACTGAGAGTCTATGACCAGTCCAAAGTCACTTATTTGGCTCCATAGCTAAGCAGGGACTGGAACCCTGATCACCTGAGTCCCATGCCAATACTCTTAACCACTACACCACACTATCTTCTGAATATACCTTAATTAATTCATTGATTGATGCCTTCCATATATTCTAAAATATAATCTGTGATGAAGAAAAACACAAGTGACAGTGTTGTCTTATATATGTCTACTCATTTACATATACTGTTTACTCCCAGGTAGCTGTGTAAAGGACTAAAGTCCTTTTGTTCTCTTTGTTGTAAAACAAGGCTGTAGATCATTCCCAAGAACACAGTTAAATGAGGCTTCTCTGCCTGACCTATCTACAGGTGAT